TGATAGATGTGATTTGTATTCAAGCATTTTGTTTTGTCATTTTCATTGGATTGATTTGTAGTGTTGATTTCGTTAGTTTCTTGTGCCGTTTGTGTAGAATGGATGGGTTCAATATAATAATTGTGAAGGAGTTCTAATTGATTTTCATATATATGTGATGAAAAAGGTTGTTCATATATAATAGGTTCGTAGTCATTTTCGACTGCTATCATATTGATGGAAATAGTGTTTCCTGTATCACTTTCTGAATCTGATGATTCACAGTTTATTTGATTTAGTTGTAGTTCGTTATTTCCTGTGTCATCAATACCTGGGGGGTCTGATGTTGTCTCTGGGTTTGATTGTACTTGATTAATATTTCTTTGATGTTTAGGTGTACTACTTCTGTGGCGATTGTTAGAATTTTTATAATGGTTATTATTCCTGTGTGGTGATTGGGAATAATTTCTATAACGGTTATTATAACTTGAATGTCGATTTTGTGAATTATTTCGTGATCTGTTTTGATAATTATTGTTTTGTCTGTTATAGTTTGATCTATTATATGAGTTATTCCTTGATCGATTGTTCGGGTAATTCTGGTTTTGGTTGTTTGAATAACTTCTATTTCGATTATTGGAGTAGTTTCTATTTCTATTGTATGATGAGTTTCGTGATTGATTGTTTGGATAGTAATTATTCCTTGATTGGGAATTAGATCTAGAAACAAATTGTGTTGTATTTGAATTTGATCTGGAGTAGTTATTTCGACTATTTGGTCTATTGTAATGATTTTGTGACGAATTTAATGTATTTCTTCGTTCTGGTGATCTTCCTCTATAACTTGAGTTATATGGTGATTGAGTTCTCGTGTAATTGGTATTGTTCGGAAGTGGTTTTCCTGAACTGTTGTTGCTGTATACATTTTTGTTCGGTAGATTTTGATCTTTTTTCATGTACTGATAGAATGATTTATTTGGTTCCTTATATTTTTGAGGTTTGTTTTGATTGTCCTGTTGTTTTTGTCTACATTCAGAAATACTATGTCCGTATCGTCGGCAATAATTACACCATTTTTTGAAAGATGGTTTGCCTTTAAAGTTTGGGTGTTTTTCATAAATATTGAGTATTTCAGTGATTTTTCAACGAGGTCTATATCTGATTCCTGTATATTGTTGATATTTGTGGTATTTGTTTCAATTCGGTTAACATATTGTAATTTCAGATTTTCTGTTTCTTCAAGTTTCATTGTGATATCCGCTTGCTCTAGTTTATCTACTAGTTTTCGAAAATCTAAATCGGGCTCTCGAATTGAGGAGGGATGGGATGCTCTCTTTTTTATTGCTATTTTCCTTAATTGAGGTGTTAAGGTCATCATTAAGATTTCTGTCATTTTTGTGTTTTTGTAGTCGTGTGTATTTAGTGAGTATGCTTTTCGAACTAGTGTTTCAATACGTACTGCTAATTGTTTGATGGTTTCATTTGGTAATCTGCGAATTTCATTACATAAAACTCTTTGTTGTTGTTTGTTTCTTTCGGAGTCAAACATTTTTAAAAATTCTTGTGTAAATCTTTTCCAATTTGATTTTATTTCTATAGGCAATACTGAAAACCATTTTTGGGCTGCGCCATCTAAGGTTGTCTGTATCAACGCTGTGCGTCGATGTATCCAATTTTGATGTAGTGGCGTATTAATTGGTTCAGGTCCTATATTTAAAATTAAATTTGCTGTTACTGCATTTAAATAATCTTCTACAGAATATTCAGGGTCTGTTCCTGTGAATACCATTAATGGTTTGTTTGATGTTATTGATGATCCACCCATAAGGTATGGATTCATTGTCATTTGTAATGATTCTGCTGCATTTGGCATTTGTGAAAAATTCGAAAGTTTATTTTTTGTTATTTCGTGTTGTTGAAGGTAATATGGAAGTGATATTTCATTTTGCATTTGTGTTGGTTGATACGAGTGTGTAATCATTTGGTTTTGTGCTTGAATTGGTTGAAAAGATTGTGCATTAATTGGGTTTTGCATTTGCATTGGTTGTTGATTTTGTGTATCTGTTGGGTGTGGAGAAAAAATTCTATGATATGTATACGGTTTTTGCACTCCTTGTCCACGATATTCTTGAGTGTATGGTGCAAATATATCTGGTTGTAAATAATCATCATTGGAGGATAAATAATCCGTTTGATGAGACGCTTGCTTTTTATTTTTATTCTGTTGAAAGAATGGGTAATTTTCACTACGATCCTGTGGAGGATGTGAATTAGTTTGAAAATTTACTGAGTTGGTTGTTGCCATTGGGTTATCCCAATATCGAGATCTTATCTGATTATTATTATTTTTTCGTGGGGGATAGTTTGTTTTTGATGAATGTACGTAATTATAATTGTGTTCCGCAAAAGTGTTTCTTGTGAACGTTCTGCGTGTTTTTGACGGTATTGTCATGGGTCTATATGTTTGATAATCCATTTGTGAATATTTGTCGCACCAGATGAGTTATAACCGAGGTGGTTAACTCATAGAGTAATTTCGGATAGGGTACACCGTCTGCTCGTCACGCTATCTTATTTTCGGCCGGATAGATTCGTGCAACTTCTTAGTCTAATACCGATCCTAATCTTACTCTTATACTATCTAGTCTCAGGTTGTTTAACTAGTCTCTGCTAGGCTCAATAGATCTAGGGTATACTGGTTTATTGCGGCTGCTGAAGTCTTCTTGGAGAGTCAACTAATTTCTAAGTTAAATTCAAATCTCTCTGGTGCTGAAATTACAAGTAATTTCAGCACTTACAAATAAGTGGGTTGTTAGTTAGATGGATCATGATTGGTTAATATTAAATACTTTACAATGGTAAAATATCTAATTTATCCAATCATAAAATGTAGTTTAGATCAGGTTCCAATTTATTCGACTCCCGTGTTAACAAAAATGCAAGTCATACAACTCCTATGGAATTTCCTTAAAATTTATTTCATTCTTTTGAAAATATGGATCTACTTAATAATTTACCCTCTTCTTTCTTGAAAAGGGGTGTGAATCTTAAGTAGATGATTCCGCTAAATAAGTAGACTTTTTGATAAACCAAACTGCAGAAAAAATTTATTCTCAAAATTGGAAAGCATCATAGTCAATCTGCGCACAGGTAATTCGGCCAAAGACAATTCAGCCAAATAAAAATTCAGACAATTCAGCCAAAATATACAGACAATTCAGCCTGAGACAATTCAGCCAGTTTTACAAAATGCTAAGTTCGAAAGAAAAAAAAAATCGGAATTGGAGCTATTTCTCGGTTTAAGGTCGCCGATAACCGGCTCTAAATTTCGTATAGAGTCCTACCCTCTGTTGGCAAGCTCGCAACACGTTGGAGCGACTGCGGCGGTCACTATTATTGGCTGAATTGTCTCTGGCTGAATTGTCTGAATTTGAAATCGGCTGAATTATCTTTGGCCGAAATCTCTGGACGCGTAGTCAATCAGCTAGCCATTTAACAAAGAGAACAAAAAATTTAACTAAAAAATGCTGCCTTGTTTGAGCGACAATAAATGCGAGTTTTATTTATCGTGGTGAGAAGGGGATTATTACGAAATAATTGCACGAAAGATATTTGACTAACATTTGCTCTAACTGTGAAATTTATGAATAACATTTTTCATTGTATGGAATTGTGCAACTAGAATTTCAAAGTAGGCTATCAAATCACGGAGAATTTATTTCAATCATTTTTATTCCGACTATTTTTGAATAAAATGGCTAAATATTTGTGCTCGGGCTGGTTTTTTCCCCCCAAAATTTGTTTTTTTTTAACTAGCCATTTTCGACAGATTTTTTTCTCTTGAGCTCAAATTTAGAAAAATATATTTAGCTGTGATAATTTCTCGTGAAGTTATGGGGGTTTGAAAATAGCCGATCTAGCCAATTTGGAGAAATAATGCGTGATGCTTCGTGCTATTCACGGCTGAGTTTTATCCCTCTTAGAAATCATTTCAAATTGAATTGAGGCATGCTATTTGGTCTATAAAAATTTTCGCTATACGCAAAATATAGCCCTTTGCTTTTCGAATAGCGTAAAGGGAGCGTTTTCAAAAAAAACTCAAAAATGAAAATTTGGATTTTTTTTTCTTCAGACAAATTTATACTTTCTAACTAGCCTTTTTTGACGGAATTTTTAAATATCATTCAAAATGTATTGTTGTCTTGAGCTTAAATTTGAAAAGATATTTTACCTGTGATCAGTTTTCGTAAAGTTATGAGTGTTTAAAGATTGCCATTTTGACCAATTTGGGACAATTAACGACCGATATAATTCGCGCTATTAACGCGTAAGCGGAGATTTAATCAGTCCTATAAGTCGTTCTAAATTGGTTGAACGAAGCTTATTTGCCATAATTGATTTGTTACAAGGAACGAAATCTATCTTTTTGTACTTTATATGGCGTGTGGGGGGATGATTTTTATAAAAAATTTCAAATTAAAAAAAAATTCATTTTATTTTATTTCATTTAATTTTTTTATGTTATTACTGCTGCTCCATAAACCCTAAAAGGCAGTCGGAACATTCAGTCGGAACATTCAAACATTCATAAGTATTTTTGAATTTTTGAAATGCAACTCATAAAATTTTCAATGAATTATAAGAATAGCACTTTTTCATAGACAAGCTGAATGAAATTCTATGACTAAAACTTTTGTTGAAGGGAGGTCAACCCGAGCTACGTTTCAATTTTGCTCCGACTCAAGGCCAGTTTTTGCGTTTGCATGTTAGGTCAAATATTGACCATGTATTCGATCAATCCAGTCCAATCTTAAGTCGAACACCTCAACTCGGCTAGTGCGGTTTTGGGTTGTTATTTTCACAATGTCAGGGTGGCGTATTTCCATTTTTCAAAAAAGCGGACAATTTCGCTATGTTGTCATTATCCCTGTAATGATAAGAGAACTTAAAATTTGTCAACAGTTAAAATTTGTCATTAGTAAGTTTGTATTTGATTATGTTTCGTTATTTTATATTCATAGGAAGTGCTCTGTTCTGGTTCAATTTGGATCTAGCTGGAGCCCCCCTTCCTTACACTCTACACGGGGGCTGTGCTGTGGGGGTGGGGACCAAGAGGATAGGGAACAAGTGGGTTAGATACAATGGACAGTTCAACACTTTCCCCTGTGGGTTGAAGAGAGAAAAGCAGACGCCAAAACTGCCCAAATCACTAGTCAAATTTTAAACATTACAAATTATTATAAAAATTAATAAAGATACCGTCGGTCAAGATAGCATCCTCTGCCGAAATTTGAACAAGTTGAAAACCTCAACCCCAAATTTTAGGGGGAGTAACTTATCCCTAATGCATTATAAAAGAATTTTGGTTTCTGTTTTTTGTAAATATTCTATCAAAGGCGACAAGTTTGTTAAAGAGCAGTCCTTAAGAACAATCCTTCATCACATGCTAGACCGGTGAAGGACTAACGTGCTGAAGTCTCAATCTGCTGAAAAATTGGAGAACTTGTTTTTTTGCCATCCTAGGTTATATTTTTTGTCAAGAAATTAGACGACAAAAATAATTGGGTGATCCAAAAATAACTCATTTTAGACGATAACTTGCGTGCAATTTGTATGAAATTTGTTTACAGACTTCCATCGTTTTTTGATTGAGTAAACACTGGTTTTCCAATCTCAAATCAAGTGATTAATGGCACAGTTGTAGAATTTTTCAATTTCAAAAAATGTTCAATTTGATGATTTATAATAAATTGAAAATAGGAGTCTTGTACGTTTCTGTGAAAAGATACTATCTTTTTGTTCTTATGTTATTTCAGTCTAAGTAAAAAATTTATTTAGACCCGCTCTTATTGTCTAAGAATTAAATAACCGGTCATTAAATAACAAACATCTCATTGTAGGAAGTAATTTAGATTTTTTGCCTTTCAATTATCAAAAACTTTTTCTGATGAAGGCAAAAATGAGACTTTAGCTAAGCAACAATAAGCAATGCAATGCAATAAGCGATGAAAGACGAAAAAAAAACAGTTTTTCGCAAGCGCCATTCACTCAGCGCTTAAAAAATACAGCCAATCAATTCAAAGAAACTCTTACTTTTGGCAAACTGACACTCTTGATAATTTCGGCAAACTGACCTTTCGGCACGTTGGAATTATAATTGCTTGACCATTATTATGCAAACGTACATTAATTATTCACTTATTGCAAGTGAAAGTACGCGGGTTTTTTCAAATATTCGGTATAAGGTATTATTTAGCTCTCACAAGGTAATATTTAGCTAGAGATAGTTTAGGTGACGAACACAAGCTTATCACGCCAAAAAAACTTTCTGATGGGAACGTCGAATTTTTTTGAAATTGTTTAATAAAAAATACTAAGTATAATTGAAATGCTTTTTGATAAGTAATCGCGATGCTCAAGATTAACCTTTTTTTCATCTTCACAACAAGACCGACCACCTCGTTGGGCTCTGATAACAACATAAAATTAAGGTTTGTTAGATGTGGCTATATCTAAATTTTCTTTTCTAAACTTAAAGTTTTCATAGTTCGCCTCAAGCGAACCTTAATTTTCTGTTGTAATCAGTGGTCTTAGCAGGTGTTGGGTTTGGTTGTGAAGAACCAAAGTCGTTAAAATTGAGCATAACATCGAAAATCATTTTATTTGGAAAACGTGAAAAAGCTCCTGACTAGTGAGACCTCACTAAAGAAAGGAAAAGGAAAAAAGCCATACTTTTTGTCAGTTGGTTTATTTATGTTTTTATCAATATACTTTTTCTGAGCAAAATGACGAATTTCATTTTGTGAAAGTAAACTTGTGCCGCTGGATACTTTAAAAAAAAACCTTTTCTGGGATTTTTTTGTAGATCATGCTGAAAAAATTGGTATCAACACAACTCTCTTCCCCGTCAAAATTGTTGGCAACAAGTTTTTTAATGTAAAAAGCAAAAAATTTTAAAAAGAAACGCCAATTCAATAACGCAAAAAGTATATTTTCAAAAATGTTAGGCATGAGAGGTATTTCTTATATAATTCATTTTGAAAAGTTCAAGTGAGTAAAAAAAACAACCCAACAGTCGGGTTCATAACTGTAATTCCACTGTTACCCGACAAGGTCCCAACGAAATTAGCTGCGTTTAAAACAAAAAAATTAATACACACTGCTTAGCCGAAGCGGAAGCTATTTGAGCAAAACTACCTCAGTTTCGCTGCAACAAAAATTTTGAGTATCGGAAGTTTTTCAGTACGTTTGTCAAATTCTACAGTAAGCAAAATGATTACGATTTTTTTCGAGAACTTCTAAATGGTATTCGTATTAGAAAAAGCTAAATCTTGGCTAGTAGACAGATCCTATATTTACTTCAAATCGTTTACTCGATTAATATTCCCCTTTTTGATAAAGCCTTAAAGCCTTGCTTGCACATATTAGGAACGCATAAATGATATATACGTTCATGCTCAGTTTTTTCGTTCTTGTGCGTTATGGTGATTAGCCAGTTATTGTTCCGACTTTCGATGAGAACGGAATAATTATTCTTGGTGTGCTTTTTTATTCAATCGTTTTTCGGCTATCAAAATAATAGTTTTCAACAGGAAATTTTCCTACCCCATAGAAGATATCGACTCCCTAAAACCAACTTTTAAAAAAATATATTTTTTTGATTGTTTTTTGCAAAGTTCAGGGAGTTTGAAAATAGGCAATTTGGCGATGCTCTGAACTTATTTATGCGCACTATGAAGATTTGATTCATAATACTGAAGCCGTAACGCCAATTGTTTATGCGTCGCGAACTATCATGCACAACAAAAACCGTTCCTAATTGAAATTAGGCTAGCCAATTCTTCGTATTAGTTTCGTACGACTAACATTACGGGCCAAACTGTGCACTTGATAGGCGCACAATTTTGTGTCTATTTGTTCCTGGATTCCAGAGACAAGTCATTAAACAAATTCTAAAATGTAAGTGGATTCCACTTACAAAATTTCAGTGGATTCCGCGTGCAATTACCTGTAACGTAAATTTTTTCGGCACATTGATTTTGTTGCGTATTCCTCAACAAGCGAATATAGGCAGGTTTTCCGGATTCCGCAAATGTATGCGGATTCCGCAAATGTAAGTGGATTACGCAAGCTTATGCGGGCTCCGATTACAATTTGCAGATTCCGCTTACAATTTGCGGATTCCGCTTACAGTTTGCGGATTCCACTTACAGTTGCGGATTCCGCGACAACTTCAGTTTGCTAAGCACATATATTATGATTTGTTCATGGATTCCACAAACTGGTTCCGGATTTTGTTGCGGATTCCGCAAAGTTGCCTGTTTTTGAAGCAATTTTGAGCAACACAGTGTTTTAGCTATTTATCTGTCCGTGGAATACAAAACAGCAGAGAAGATCAAAGAAAAATTGCAATGTTGCGGATTCCGCGACAAATCTGATTTTTGTCTGTTGTGGAGTCCGCTTACATTTCATAAAATGCACAGTTTGGCCTCGTAATGAATACTTTCACAGTTGATCTTTGATCTTGTCCAATTTTTATAGTTTTCCAATATTTTCTTTTACCAAAAACTTTTCGAGGACAATTAAATGACAATCGGAACATTTTTGAGGACGGGCGCTTAAAACCGAGACTGAAGTGAACTATGAAGATTTGATTCATAATACTGAAGCCGTAACGCCAATTGTTTATGCGTCGCGAACTATCATGCACAACAAAAACCGTTCCTAATTGAAATTAGGCTAGCCAATTCTTCGTATTAGTTTCGTACGACTAACATTACGGGCCAAACTGTGCACTTGATAGGCGCACAATTTTGTGTCTATTTGTTCCTGGATTCCAGAGACAAGTCATTAAACAAATTCTAAAATGTAAGTGGATTCCACTTACAAAATTTCAGTGGATTCCGCGTGCAAATACCTGTAACGTAAATTTTTTCGGCACATTGATTTTGTTGCGGATTCCTCAACAAGCGAATATAGGCAGGTTTTCCGGATTCCGCAAATGTATGCGGATTCCGCAAATGTAAGTGGATTACGCAAGCTTATGCGGGCTCCGATTACAATTTGCAGATTCCGCTTACAATTTGCGGATTCCGCTTACAGTTTGCGGATTCCACTTACAGTTGCGGATTCCGCGACAACTTCAGTTTGCTAAGCACATATATTATGATTTGTTCATGGATTCCACAAACTGGTTCCGGATTTTGTTGCGGATTCCGCAAAGTTGCCTGTTTTTGAAGCAATTTTGAGCAACACAGTGTTTTAGCTATTTATCTGTCCGTGGAATACAAAACAGCAAAGAAGATCAAAGAAAAATTGCAATGTTGCGGATTCCGCGACAAATCTGATTTTTGTCTGTTGTGGAGTCCGCTTACATTTCACAAAATGCACAGTTTGGCCTCGTAATGAATACTTTCACAGTTGATCTTTGATATTGTCCAATTTTTATAGTTTTCCAATATTTTCTTTTACCAAAAACTTTTCGAGGACAATTAAATGACAATCGGAACATTTTTGAGGACGGGCGCTTAAAACCGAGACTGAAGTGAACAGCAGCCTTTCTGAGAGCGTAATAAACATAGTTTCCTTGCTTGCACTCAGCAGTGTTGTCTGACAATTGCTTAACCCCAGCACATTGCTTTTTAGGATTTATCTGCATATTTCAGCCTACTATTGGAAATAAATTTATGCATTGTAAAAAAGAAAAAAAAATTTTTTCTGCTTGTCACTGCGGATTGATATGAGATATTTTATACTGTCAAGTAACGCGGGCGGGCTTTGGTATGATATTTTACACGAACTCATTTAACTTTTTGGGGCATCTTGAAAAAAACGAGGAGTAGATCATAGTTTTTTTTTTAGCTTTCGGGGTGCTCAAAAGTTCAATCACGGTGGACAGACATGAATTCAAAAGAAGAGAAATTGAATCATAAAAAATTTTTCAACGCAAGCAATCTTTTTCAACGCAAGCTATGTGTTTTTCAAGGTATTTTTCAACGCAAGCTATCTAAATGAGGCATCCAAATCAAATATTTAGGCATCGAACAAGTTTAAATGGGTTGTCCATAATTTTATTTAAATTTTATCAAACTGTTAGCGAAACAAAACGGCATGGTCAAAACTCCTTGAAGGCAATTTTGATTTAAGTTAACTAATGTCATTGAGATCTTTAGCGAACCCAAGTAAACAGTGTTAAAGTCGACCCAGCCGAATATTGACCTTTTGAAGTGCTTCAAGCTTAAATTGACTAATTCACATCGTAAACCCATCCATATTTAGTTCTTCTCAAATTAACTTTTTGAACTTGTATTATCTCGGTCCAATTTTAGCCCCAACGTACTATTGTGAATCATGGATTCAAAATGGGTGATATTTTTTGCTTTTTTGGTACAATTTTGTGGTGCTATTAACATATTATTTTACATGCCTTGTATTGGTGGTCATTTTAGTACCATGTCAACTTTACTTGCACCATTATGCAAAACGAACAATTGCACAGTTTTCGAATCCGCCAAAATGTGTGAGCGAAAACTTGAATCTTTCCACAAAACTGTCAAATTTGATGTAATTAAAGGTCACGGATTACCTGATGAGTATTCTTTTCAAGGCAACTTGAACTTTTTGCTCACGATTTGCGATTTTTTATCTGATATGTACGAATATGCGTTTGATTCCTTATCAGAAGTTATCGACCAAAACCCTGGAAAATTTGACCTTCTAATTACTGATAGTTCAGCAGGTGCAAATACGATAGTTGGGTCCCAAAAGTATGGATACTATGGGTCTCAAAAATTATGTGTTTTTTTTTTAAATTTTAAAAACAGCTTGTTTTTTTATTTTTGTGTTTTCCAATTTTAATCAAAATGACATGAAGGATTTTGAGAACATACCGATATTTGAAGAGAATTCTTTTTTAAAATGTATTAATAAATAAACTTAGAAAAATTCTCGCTTAAACTTTTTATGAATTTGACAGGAACTGTCTTTCTTGTTTTTCTTTTTGTGTGGATCGAACTATCATGCTTACACTGTTCTGTAGTTTTGGGTAGTCTTCTGATCGGTGAAAAGTACGACATGCCTATGATCATCCAAAGTCCAGGAATTCCAGGAGGTTCTGAATGCGTGCAAGACAAATGGCCAGTTAATATATTCGAACTGTACATTCTCAAGCCTTTCGTTTCAAAATGCCGAAAGTTTATTGAAGACAAGAGAGCCGAACTAAACCTCCCGAATTTGGATTTTCAAGGTGGTTTTTTGGGCACCGAATATTCCGATCGGTTTCCAATGTTTGTTCCGACTTCGCCTTCTGTGTACCCTAAGCCGCACCCGAGCGTAGAACATGTTTATTTAGGAGGACTTCGTGATGAAAAGTTGCACCCAAAGTTAAGTCCGGAATTAGAATTATGGATTGGCAAAAATGGCAAAGATATCGTATACATATCTCTTGGAACTCATTCAACGTTAGAAAACGAAGAGTTGAAAACCTTTGTGGAAAATCTGAAAAGTCAGTCAAAGCTAAGATTTATTTGGTCGCTAGGTCTTGGACTTGAAAATAAAGCAAAATCTCTGAATATATTTGATGAAAAACATGATTCTGTTTTTCTGAGCAACTATTTGCCTCAATATACGTTGTTGGGTCACCCGTCTGTGAAAATATATGTATCACATTGTGGTTTGGGCTCAATGGTCGACCAAATTTCCCGAGCAATTCCGGGTATTTTTGTGCCCCAATTTGGCGACCAATTTTCAAATGCAGCCAAACTCGTAAGCCTTAAAACTGGAATAACCCTAAAGGAATTCAAATTCGAACTGTTATTTGAAGCCATTCAAATGGTGACCAGGAATTATGAGAGCTTCAAGAAAAATTTAATTCTTCTTCAGAACGAGTTCAAACAATACGAAAATCATGAGGCGATAAATGAGTTTGCTCTCAAAGTTGCGTCGAGGAAGAAATTATCGATCAAGACCAAATTGCCATATCAGGTAAACTGTGCTCGAGTTGCAATGTTTTGGAATCTGATTAAGGTCGTGTTCACAATTTTGGGAACGTGCTTGCTTTATTTGATTTGCAAACTGCTTTGGAGATGTTGTAAGAAAAGAGCCAAAACCCAGAAAAAGAACAAATGATTACGAATACATTCAACGAAAAATTTTTGAAGTTTTTTTAATATGGTACTTAATCAGAACAGGCAAAAAGTCAAAATCGAGAGTTGCGTACATTCAAATGAGAAGATGCATCGCTCATTCACTCATTATTGTATAAAACAACCATGTTCAACAGTTTACAACAAAGACAACTTGGAAAATAGTTAACTCGAAAAATTTAAGGAAAGCGGCGATTCCCAACAAAAAAGTTATTGAACAAATCTTTGTAACAATAATCTAGATTAGTTTCAATAAAAAATATTCACGCGCGTTATACCACATGTGCAGAGTGTAAGCGCAGCGAAGACAATGTCGCTTTTTAAACTAAATCTCAAACTTAGCGAGCTGCCGCTTTTTTTTTAATTTCGATAATTGCGAGGTTTTTCTTCCAAGTTGTCACAGTACTTGAATTTCTATATACCACGTTTATACTCTCTTTGTAAAAAAGTCAATTAAAATTTTTTTTAAAAACGATAACTTTTTAGAAAATGGTATTCGACAACGAGCCCATTTAACTTAATTTATGCGCATTTCAAGTTTATAAATTCAGTATTAAAGGTAAAGGCGACTCAGAAGTTGCCTGGTATAAGAAAAAGCCTCCGTCAAATTGTCTGAGTTCTTGGAGCGTGAGAAGCTATATCTTGCAATAAACAATCGATTGCGGGAAAATTAGATCAGGTATCAATTTAAGATAGCTTCGAAGAAGATCAATCCAAAAACTGTTTGTTTGAGTTTTTACCCTGATTCAGATCTTTGCTGTTACCGCTGACAGATATTTTGAATATCGCTTCAAGCTTTGCCGAAGCAAAACGATGCGGAAAATAGCTCCATTTTAAATGGACGCGCATACTTTTTTCTGTTACTTTAAGCACATGTGATAAATTCTAAGCAGTGTGGTAAACCGAACATTTTTAGCACCATCAGAGGCCTAATTTTTAGACAAAATTTATATTTTGACACCAACAGTGCGTATAGTTTTTTTTTTAAATGCTATTTTTAAAGGACAACCTGCGTGCCCGTACCCAGTAAATTTTCTAAAACAGATCTGAAATTCTTTATTACGGTCAACGTATTACGAGTCTCCTTTTTACAAATTTCTAGTCTCATAAAAAATAGTGAACCAAACAGAGTTTTTAAATCAACGCAAACAATTTACTTAAACCAGAAAACTCTGCATGCAACAAAGCACAAGTTCGTCGAAAACCGCTAATTTTCAGGAAAAATTGTTTGAAAAAAAATTTTGTGGAATAAAATAAAATAAAATTGAAAAAGTATCTGCCCAAGTACATAGATTTATATATAATGTTTAAAAACAAGTTCGTCTTCATGTGTGACGTACAAAATTTAATTTTTCTTTTCTGACTCGAGAATACATCAGAAGGCAATGCTGCCTGTGGGGTGAAGACTCTGCAAGGATTCTTCAATTCTTGTCTAAAATGAATGGGAGAAAAACCATATATTACTTCTTTTTCTGTTTTCAATGACCCACAAATTTACCTCATTAAATAAACTTGGTCGTCAAATAAATTTTAATCTAATAAATAAATTACTGACGAAATTGTTTTTAAACGTTATATATAAATCTATGTACTTGGGCAGATACTTTTTCAATTTTATTTTATTCCACAGTTTTTTTACAAACGATTATCCCTGAAAACTTGGCAGGTTGAATAGTGTTCTTATTCTGTTTACGAGATATTTTGACCTATGGTTAACGTTTGGGTAATTATGGGTAATTTTTGTTTTCAACTTTTTTTCACTTGATTGATTGTATTATTCACTTCAGCAGTTGATATGCTTCCGTTCAATTTTCAATCGTATGTCTTTTTTAATACTTGACTAAGCAGTTTGATCATTTCATATGCATGTAATTTAAATGTGTAAAATTTTTGTCGAACTCATATCTCGAGAGCTTTTTTTCAGATTTTTGCTTCAAGAATCAGATCCAGAAAAACTTTTTTGTATCAATTAACCATTTTGAGATCAACTTTTGCAAAACTGCCGTTGAATAAAGCTCCATACTATAATAATGGCTCAACACAAGTTTGTACAGCCTGAGCATATTTTAATACTGAAAAACATTTTAGCTTAATACATTTTCCCAGCTAGTAAGTTCAGTTTTGTTTTTATTTTAACAAATCTGGTTTGTAGCTTGAAGTATTATCCAAAATTTTGCCGGAGTATTTGGTTTTTTTAATGTTTTTCAAATGTTTGATCTAATAGTACTGAATCGACATCAGTCGTTGATTCTGAGAAGTTTTTGTGTTTAATTGTTTAATGTCAGTAAATTTTTATCTAATCAATTAGATCTGTGTGTTCAAGTTCTGGCCATGAGTTCTAAAATAGAGGAAACGTGATTATTCAATGTTGCAACATCAGCGATCATTTTGACTTACTGTGTTGATATACATTGGGTAAGTAACTAATATGCAGTATGAAAATTAATGGTCCTAAAACTGACCCCTGTAGAGTTAACGTTTTCTGTTTCGGTATTTTTTCTTCCAACATCAAAAATTGAAAAATTGATTTCTGTCTGTCAAATAAGATTTCAATTATTCTAACACTGGTCCTCTTAGCCCGTTTTTATAGAATTTTACTTCCAGATGTCTATGCGTAGTATAACTAGTTTCTGATCTGTGTTTTTTTTTCAATTGATTCCATGAAAGTATGATCAATGCTCTTTTATCAAAGTTTGTACAAATTTAATATTTATTTTTACAAAAAAATAAAATCTTTCAGTCAAAAATTTTCCATCCTTCTGTATTCAATTTTTTAAAAGGTGAGAAAAATTTTCTGATCACAGGTGTTTTTTCCTGTGACCAATTTCAACTCCATTCAAATAACCAACTGTTTTTACAGTCATTCAATATAATCAAAAATTATTGATGCATTAGAAGTTATATCAGCAAAATCTAACTCCATTCCGGTAGAAAAGTTTTTAGAATAGGGGTGGGAGAGATTAAAAAACAACAGTTTTTTGTCATTTGTTTTAGTTGTGGCTTGTATCATAAGCTTACTGCTTTGTCAAAAGGACTGCTTTCATTAAAAAAAAACAGTATACGCTGTTCGCTACTTTTTGGCGATAATTATCTACATGGAAAGTTTTTGTAAATCTGTAGCTCTGGCCATTTTTCGATGAAAAATGTTTTTTGGGAAAATTTTGAGACTCATGCAGAGAAAAAAATTTCAGCTCGAACAAAATTCATATCAACGAAGTTAATATCCTTTTATTTATAAACCAACAGTAGTCCCAGAACAATTGTTTTGAGATGAAATGCCCCCGCTTGAAAACTTATCTCCGTTTTTTTTCAATTTTTTTTATGACCACTTTCAACTCTAACTAATCAACTAACAGCTTTTGACATTCATTAAATACCATGCAAGAATTATAAAAATTTCGCTGAAAAATCAAATGAAGTTTCAATGTTTATACGGGATCTCAGGAAGTTAGACGTTACCATGAAACAAGGAAGAATCAACTCACAATATATTCCTACACATTTGTAGCTTATTATCATCATAAATTATTAGTAATTGTAATTTAGTCGAGAATTACTACGAAATGTTTTTTGAGACTTTTATTCTGTTTAGATTTCCTAGAAATGCAATTTTAACTAGACAAAGTCGCAAGTCAAATTATTGAATACTGGTGGAGTTTCAAAGCATTTCAAGCTGAAGCGATGATTTCAAAGTTGAAAATCTTGAAACAAAAGCATGATCTAACAAAATAATTTACAAATTTTGGAAATTTTGTCCCCTCCTAAAAACTATGAATCAGCCCCTGTTTTCCGTAGCATCCTGACATCCATTGAAAGAGCAATATTAGGCTTACACTGATTTCTTATCTAAAATCGTACAAAAGGTAACAATCTGATTTTTATGAGCAGGATAATCTAGTCTAGGTGTTTATTGAGTTAAAACGCATTTATTACATTTGCGATATTGAGTTAAAACGCATTTATTACGTTTGCGATAAGCAAGGGTATTACGTTTGGGTAGTCGACTCTTATTTCCGTGAATAACTTGGTTAACAGGACCCTTTTCATCTGACTCCTTTGCTAAGAGACTCTATTAGCAAAACATTGTCGCTACAGACCCATATTGTGCTTCTTGGTATTTCAATTATCTGTCCAGTTTGAAACTTTCTCAGTATGATGATTGTATTTTTACCAACTCAATTTGCTTAAACTTCATTTTTTTCATTTTCTATTTTCAAGCTTGATAGGCTTCAGCCTATGATAAATCCGAATTTAGTGACCTCATTTTGCGTCTTTCAAAAAAAAACATTTGTTTTGTTGGTACGTTTCGAGGTTTAGGGGGAATTGATAGACATTTTAGGTTCTGTTGAATTTTTTCGGCTTCAAAATTTTCTGCTAAGGTTTTTCGGTTTTTTTGTAAACTTTCTTTGATGCTTTTTTTCTACATTTTTTTGATTTATTATCTTTTTTTGTTCAAAAACTAGCTTTTTTTATCTAGTTTTTTTTGTGTTTTTCGATTTTTTTTGCTTTCCTGGTTTCGGATTGCAAAGATGTGAGACTCAGCTTTGTCTCTGTGTGCAACAGTGTCAAAAGTCTTTAATGAAACTCAGACGTTCAAGCAGTTTTTGTTAAAACTTCTAGACTTCTCCTTCTAATATTTCCTTCTAGCAAAACTCAGTAAACATTAAAGTTCGCGCTCTATTCTTGCTTTCTGCACGCTCCTGCGGATAAATCGAGAGCCCAGATATTTTTTTTTGGATAATATGCAAAGAGTTTATCACTATTCTAACTGTTTGTGAGATTATCATTAGTTCGCTATTTTTTTATCACTGAAAATCAAAATGGCATTTAAACAATTATTTAGGGCAAATTTTCTGTTTTAAGTTTTCACCTTGAATTTTTGCATATAAGAAAGCTCTCCATCTAATGCGTGATCTGCCTTGGTGTTAAGTTTTGTCATGAAGTCTCAGTCAAGATTGACTGTTTGACAGAAAAAATACAGTTTAACATTGTCTAGACTTCGCCTCAAACTTGTCTTGATAGGATTTTACCGCATTTTCCATCTCGTAGCTAATTTGACAAATTTGGAATTTTCGGACCCAATTTGGAAACTTCGGATTCATTTTTAATGCTTTTTCAAAGTTTCAATTTCATTATTTTTGAAAAAAATATATCAGACTTCTAATAAATCTATTAAGTTCTTATAAAAGCATTTGACCGCTACAAAGAGGTAATTAACTGAAAAAGTCAAAATGAAATAAAAAAGCAAGCTACTTATCAAAAAAGAGAGTAAAAAAAACGTTTTGACAGAGAGATAGCACTTAACAGAGTGATTTTTCTCTGTCCACAGTTTTGCATGACCTTTCGATGCTTCACACAAACATGAGACATAATTTTTGTCCAAAAAATTAGCGCATGTAATCAAAAAATTTTCCACATGAGCTAACTTCTATTTTTATTTAATTTTATCAATCCAAACTTCATGCTACTATTTTATAGCAAAAAGTTAGAGCAGACATCTTAAAAGTCAAAGGGGAAGTTACCAATTCGGAACATTTTTTTTCAAGCAAAGTTAAAAAAGTGCTCCATTTTTTTCCTCTTCTTTTTTTAGGCGTGATAGGTTTCTGCATATTTGAAATCGGATGAGTTGCCTCTTTTTGCATCGTTCAACAAGAGAAAAATTTGTTTTGTGGGTACGTTTTGAGGTTTAGTGTAGCTTGATACATTTTACAAGTGCTGTTGATTTTTTTTCGGCCTATTACAGTTTTCGAATTTTTTATCACCTAGTAAAGTTTCTTTGACGTTTATTTAACAATCTATTGATTTATTAGCTTTTTATTTCATAACTAGCTCTTTTTATTTTGACAGATCTAGTTTGTGTTTTTCGATTTTGTTCGACTTCCTGAATTTGCATTGCAAAGGTGTGAGACTCAACCTCGTCTCTGTGTTCAACAGTGTCAAAAGTTTTCTAATGAAAATCAGAAAATCCAGCAGTTTTTGATAAAACTTTTAGACTTCTCTTTCTATCTAAATTTGTGTCTTTGATTTATTTAAGCAAAACTCAGTAAACATTAAATTTTGCTCTCAATTTTTGCTTTCTGCATGCTCTTGTGGATAAATCGGAAGCCCACCCACTGTTTTTTGGATAAATTGCAAAGTCTGCAATGCACTGTCAAAAGAGCAAACAAAATGATACCGCTGCTTTAGGAAGTTTTTAAACATAAATTCAAGCCTTTAATTCCAAAACAATTTTCATTCAGCAGCAATCTGACATGAAATTTCTTATAATGCAAAAAAAACACATAAAACTCTGGCAAAAAACTAAAAACGAAACTTCAGAGAACTATTTTTAATTAGGTTCAGCTTAAAGATGAGAGTTTTTTTCAAAAACTTAAGATGTTGTCCGAAACTTTGTGATTTTTGCATGCCATTTTGAGTGAGTTTTATAATTAGTAGCAAAAAGTTTGGCGAGACAAAAATAATTAAAAAGAGCAAATGACCTTTTTCAGACAATTTTTACATGCAAAAGCTAATTTTTCACTCAGAAAATATGTCTCAATGTCACCTGAAAATCGAAACTTGCATGCAAAAATTGTTCAAAATTGGCAGATTGCTCTTTTTAATTATTTTTGTATGTCCGAACTTTTTGCAACTCTCTATAGCGTCGAATTGAGTCATGTTTTCTGTCGAAAAAATTAGCTTAAAAAATTATGTCTGTGATCGACTGGGTATTTTTGGCGTAATTTTTAATTAACTAAGAAAAGCCAAAATGACCCATTTTTGGGGTAAAATTTTGGGCCCGAATTTCGCAAAACAAATTCAATTATATTAATTCCGCTGAAATTTTAAGCAAGTTTTGTATTCATAAGTTTTCACCTAAACTCAACCCAATCGGAGAAAAAAGCGTTTTAAATTTCAAGTTTAATGCGTTTTGTCCGGTAAATTCAAATCAGCATTGTATATCTCAATGTCACCTAAAATTCAAATCTGCATGCAAAAATAGCTCAAAATTGGCAGATTTCTCTTTTTAATTATTTTTGTCTGTCCAAACTTTTTGCAACTCTCTATAATTATAGCTTTTAACGAATTCATCGGACAACGAATTAAATTTCCTAATTAATTCTGGCCTTCAAAAATAAACGAAATCGAAATACTTCTTTAAAGTTTTCCTTTTGCCTTTTGTCGGTATTTAGTGTTTTTTTTACTCTGAAAATTTACATGGCAATTCGTTGTTGAATGAACAACATTTTTTAATTGTATATTTGAAATAAAGCAAATATCAAGTGCTCCGGAAAAACGCTGTCATTTGCTCTTTTATCGGTTCAAATGCAGCTTTGAAAATTCGATAGCAGCTTTTACGCCATTTCACTCCCTCAAGGTCAGAATTGTTTCAAAAACTTTAGTTATAATTGTTAAAAGCTATAACGTTGGAATGCAACATTTTTTCCGAAATCGGTCAATTGTTCTTTTCCATTAATTCTGTCCGTTATAGTTAAAAAAATAATTTGCTCTGTTATCGCTTGACCTGTTCCAAATTTTTGAAGCTCACTACAGTACTCGCTTGAACTATTTGTATAAAACAACAAACTTGAAATTGAAACGAATTTTTCCTACATTGGGTTGAATTTGGACGACACAATTTTCTCCGCCTTTCAACAAAAAAATTGGGGAAAAAAATTAACCCAAAATCTATCAATTTTAGTTTTTTCAGTCAATAGCAAAGCACAAAAGAACCACTGGCTCAGTTGCTGACAAAAATGTACCAAAGTGGGCCTCTCTTTGTCTAAAGTCGGCCGATATGGAAAAAAAACGTGCTTTCAATTTGAAGTTTGTTTTTTTGTCCAGATAATTGATATCTGCACTGTTTTTTGCAGAAAATTTGTGCTTGCAAACGGTATTCTTCAGATAAAATGTATGTCTGAGGGCTGACCGAAATTTCAAATATGCATGCAAACTCTACAAAAAACTGATTGATTATTCCGTTATTCAATTCTGATGATTCCAATTGTTTGCTACTTGTCCGAGTGTTTTTAAATAGCTTCATTTTCGGTGTGATTGTTTAAGTTTGAAGTTCGACGTTTAATCGAAAATTTAATAGGCGTGAATTCAAGATTTGTTGGTTCATGTACCTCATAAAAAACACAAAAAGAATGCAAAAGCAAATCGCATAACCGCAAAGTATAAAATATATACGTGTTGAGTTTCGTTGAATTTTCGTTTATCGCTGCAAAAAAATGTATTCAGTCTACAAACTCTGCGTAATTTTAGCCGCTTTCCTGCTTAATGAGGCGTCGGCTGTGAATATTTTATTCTTCGTACCCTGTTATGGCGGCCATTTTGGAACCATTTCTACACTTTTGGTCCCACTTTGCAAAACTAACAAATGTACTGTTTTCGAATCTGCAAAGTTATGCGAGAAAAAATTAGAATCATTCCGCAAAATCGTCAACTTTGAAGTTATCAAAAACCACGGTTTGCCTGATGAATATTCAATCAGGGATAGTTTGGAGTTTTCTTTCAATGTGAGCTCGCATCGTATTGAGTTGTACGAGTTCGGGTATGAGTCACTGACCGAAGTTTTGGAGGATCGTTCTCGGCCAGTTGACAGGTAAGAACGAGAATTTTTTATTTAGATAGCTATATTCACCAAATCTTGGCGTGCTGATTATCCGAAACAAGAAATATCTATACACGAGGACATTAAACGCGAGCTTTTTTTATGTAGAAAATGTTTGCACGGGAAATCAGTTCGGTAATGTTGGTATGCAAAAAATTTAATAGGCTATTTTGTTTTCAAAAGTCACGAAGACCATGCAAAATTTATTTTTATGAACAATTATTATTAATATTGCTGCACCCGAAAAAAGATATTTTGGAAAACAAATTGGTGTTTTCGCAATCCTTGATTTTGCTTAAGTCCCTAGGCTGAAGTGATTATTCCAGTTAAACTGCACCTGCTCATATTTAGCCGTTTCGACATCCTGATAACTGACAGTGCAATTGTGTCGACATTGACAGTAGCCGAAAGATTCGATCTACCAGTCATTGGCCTCAGTATTGGCGTCCCCGGTTGGTATAAGTAAGATACACGAGTCCCCTAAATTTATAAGAGACATGGGTTAATAATAAAAATAATAATAAATTGTTTCCAAACGATATCTAGTTACAAAGTTATTTATAAAAATTTATAAATACAAATTAGAATCGTTTGGGAGAACACCATTAAGCCAACAAGGCCCGTTTTCAGGTGTCTCATTAAGCGGAGAACAAAATAAGTACTTAAATTTTTTAATCCAATGCAATGGATTTTCTACCGGTAACCATTTTTTAAACATAAAACATCTTTATTCGCACCTTTAAACCATTCTCTATAAAAACATTTCAAGAACCCTGAGAGAAATGGGTCTCTTTATGGATAAAACACATTAAGGACCTTAAGGACCCTTGTATCATACTTTTACCCCCAGGTGGAGTTGAGTGCATTGAAGATAAATGGAAGTTTGCCATGCATGAATTATTCTTGTTCAAACCCTTCGCTAGAAAGAGCTGGCAATGGCTGAAAGAAAAAAGAGACTCCTTAAAGTTACCGGAACTTGAGTACCAAGGAGAGTTTTTGACGACCGAATACACTGATCGATTCCCAATGATGATTCCAACTTCTCCGAAAATATACCCAAAACCTCACGAAAAAGTTGAACATCTCTATATTGGTGGTTTGAGAAAGGAAGAATCGTATGCAGAACTGGACCCGGAAATCGAAAACTGGATTTCCAAAAACGATTTGGACGTAGTTTACATGTCGCTAGGAACTCACGCAAAATTGGACGAAGATTCTTTGAACGAAATTGTGACTAAATTGAAAGCTCAAAAAAAGTACAGGTTTATTTGGTCGCTGGATCTTGGACTGGAAAAAATTGCAGAAAAAAGTGGAGTTTTGTCGGAAACAACGGACAATCTTTATTTGACTGGATACCTGTCGCAATTTATTTTGCTGGGGAATTCTAAAGTCAAAGTTTTTGTGAGCCACTGTGGCTTAGGGTCGATAGTTGATCTAGTTTCGAGAAAAATTCCTGGAGTTTTCTTGCCTCAATTTAGCGAGCAATTTGCGAACGCTGCAAAACTGGATAGTTTATCCGTCGGAGTAACACTAAAAGAACTCAAGGTCGAAAAACTTTTAGAAGCTATCGATCAAGTAATTGGCAACTATTCCGTTCACCAAAAAAGCCTGAATAAACTTGCAAATCAGTTTTCATCATACGAAAACCATGAAAAAATTATCGAATTTGTCGACAAAATTGCATCGAGAAAACATGTTTCAATGTGGCAAAAGTTACCCTATCATGTTCATTGTTCAAGAATTCACGTTGGCTGGCAAGCTCTCAAAGTAGCTATAGTTCTGATAGCTCTGATTATGTTATGGTTGGTTTGGGGAATTTTGTGTTGTCTTTGTTGTAGAAAAAGAAGCGTAGACATTAACAAGAAAGAAAATTGATTTGCTGTCGTCACTCAAATGGCGTTCGAAAAACATGTCATCAAATTTAGACCATCGAAGTTTCATGACAACCATTTGTTTTTTGAACGCCATTTGAGTTACCTAGGAAAACTACATTTCGATCGACACCATTGATGCAAATCTTCTGTAATGATTTTAGAAAATAAGCATCAATTGTATCGATCGAAATTTTGTTTTCCTAGGTTCTCGTATGTTTCTTCTTGATGTTAAAACAAAGCATTTATAATCCATATGTGTAAATTTCTCAATTATATCATCTAAAAGTTTATATTGATTACATACTTTCAGAAATTCAATAAAATTTTTGATGCCATTTCAAATATGCCAAACTTAAGATAACAGTCGACCCGGGTTATGATAACAGTGAGTAATGAGGATTTATTTACCTGCTGAAGATACCAAGTAAAATTATGAACTAAATTACGAAAGATAGGCGCACAATTTGTTATGTATAGGTCTCTGGAATCCAGAGACTAGTCTTGAAACATGAAAAAATTTGTCGGAACGATCAAAAAAACGAAATAACAAGAGAAAAAAAGAGATCGTCGTTCTTGCAGAATCCGCTCACATTTCACTAAAGAAACATTTTTGCCTCGTAACGAAACAAGGGCTGTAAAAATCTTTTTGAAAAAAGCACAAGGCTTTAAAAAAAATTTGTTGAAAAAATTATAACGGCACCGTGGTGTAACGGAAAAAATGTAGCGCTCCATAATATCATAACAAAAGCCTTTCATGATGGCACCATCCACCAAGGATGCGACCCCCTGCCGGTCCAAAAGTCTCTATTTGGCTAACTGACCCTTAAATTTTTCTAAAGGTGATTTCGGCGCCAAAGTATACTAATTTTAAGTGGGGACCGCGCGCCGAAAAAACGCAATTTTATGATCAAAATGTTCCAAAAAGTTCCTAAAAACGCTTTTTTGGCCTTTTCATAAAATCGCCTGCAGCGCAGAAAATTTTAATCAAATAGGGACTTCATAGTGATTTGGTGGAGCTCAGAAAATCAAAATGGTTGACCTAAAAAAAGGTAGACAAAATGTAAGAATTTTTTTTTGAAAATCCGTCCCCCCACCTATCGAGAAAATCCTATGTTCTCCCCTGCTACCATCATTACTTGGCGCGATGATATTTTTATTGGAATTCAGAAAAATGATACATCGCTAAATTCACTAATGAATTTGTCTTTTGACTAACTGCTAGTTGATTTGTTAATTTCATTAAATTCATTTTGAACTATACTGATTCTATAGCAGCCTGCTGACTTATAAATTGTTCAAAACCTAATAACTCCATTCCTTGTTATGTATTTTTGTCAGTGTTTTTTTTAAATTTCTGTGAATACTAAGACTCCAGAAAAATTGTTTTTAAAGTTTATTCCAATAAAAATTAAAATTGCAAGAAAACGCAACAAGACTGATCAAGACTGCTCGACTGCGTGCATCAGGACCAAACCTTGAATATTCCGGCCGCCATTTACTTGGTCTCAAATAATTTTTTAGTAAATTAAGTATTGGCAAAACTATGAATTTTAGGCTGATCAAATTAAAAATTCAATGTTACAATTTGAGTCGTGAATGGAATTTTTTAAAGACAATCGCTGCCTCAATTCAGTTTGAAGCGATTTTGTAGTGCAGGATATTTCACCACGCCTGTAAATTTCATAACGAGGAGTTTATACAGATTCGTGGTAGGATACTATGGTGGTGTGCACTCCCGACCGGGGCCATGAAGATCAAAAATTCTATCCTCCGAGGTACCACAAACTTGTGAAGTTGGTCTGAACAAAGAAACACAACCCGACCGCGCATATTCCTCATTTTGTTCCTCAGGTTATTCAGACTCGCTCTTTGTGAGCAGACTTGCTGCAGTTCGAATATAGTACAAAAATACCTACGCAGCGTATTGAAATATGTGTCATTCTGTCTGATGAAACATGAAAAATGGTAAAAATTGACGATTGAAGTAGGAAAGAGTAATCAGGTCAAATAATTGGAAATGACCCTCGGGAGAATTAATGTGAATTATGTTTGAGAAAGTCAGGGACATGAAAAAATGAAATTTCTTTCAAAAATGATATGCGAATTTCCAATTCTCAGAAATGTAACACGGGACCATTTTTGGGGGTAAAATGACAAAAGGTCGAACAACCAAAAAGGACGAAAACAGGCAAAACAAAAAACAGTCTTCCAAACAAACCGTCGAAACAGATAACATAGGCATTTAAATTGGAAAGGTTGAGCTGTTAATACGACTGTTAGCTCCCCAAGCAGTGTGTTCAAACAAGCGTCAAGTGACTGATTTTGAGCAGATCCGTACCCGCCTGTTTCAGGAACATAAATAGATAACAAAGTTATCTGGGAAATACCTGACCCGAGTCTTTAGGACTTTGATTCTGTTCACGCTAAGTTGATACATGTTAACTGCTGAAGTGCTTTGAGCGTGTTAATTTATTCTATCTTAATAAATTTTGTTTCATAGCGCGTAATTAAGAGTCAGGAACGTTCAATTCATCTGTTATGGATTCAATGTGTAATTACCAGACGTTAGGTTATCTCGCATATATGCAAAAACTAAGTTAGCTCCGTTTCGTTCGGCTGATAGCCTTGAATTCAAAATGCGTTCGTTTCCTCTCGATTGCAGCAAAACTAAGTGGCTACCCGGATTGACCAAAAATGCTACTCATACAATTTTCATATATGGAAAAATCCTAGTCATACACTTTTCATGCAATTCCATTAGCACAGAAAATTGCATGAAAAGTCTATGATTAATGATTTTTCGTTTATGGAAATTGTATGACTAGCATTTTTCCATAAACCAAAAAAAAATCACCAAAAGTTTGATCATTTCGCATTTACAATGCATTGGAAACTACCTGAAATGTAAAACTTTTCTTACACAAGTAATATACTGAAAGCATCAATTTTTTAGATTTTGGCAAGATAATGGTTTTCAAAGTTTGAGTTTTTCAATTATCAGTTATTGATCAAGGCATACGTAAATATGCCATACAAAAGAAATAGTGGGAGATTTAGCATTTTTGTTAAGAAAAATTATCCAGAAAAACGGAAAAAATCCCATTTTTGTGTATCCAGGACTACGTTATGCACACAAAAAAGTAAAATTTGGTCGGAAAATTTTTTTAATGAAAATGTTTGTTTGAGTACAAAATCCGATTTGCGGTTGAAAAAAAAAACAAAAAATTTTTTGGGGCTATTTCAGAAAAATTCATAGCCATCAAAAAAATTCTAGTCATACAGTTTCAAAATATGAAAATTGTATGATTAGAATTTTTTTTGAACAGTTTTTCTCTTTTTTTTTTCAGAACGATACACCAATTCTCATGCCGAAACAAGAAAAAAAAATTGAAAATTCGATGACACCATTTTAGCAAAAAGTATGAAATTTGTATGACTAGAATGTTTTCATAGACTTAGTTTATGGAATTGTATGATTAACATTTTTGGTCTATGGAGGTCAACCCGTGTAAGTGGAGACGTTGAAAAACATATAATTAGGGTATCTGACGCCAGCCAGACGTCAGTAGGGACATTTTGACTTTCCTTTGCTGTGTACTTTTAGAGTGAATGTTACAAAAAGCATATGTTGCAGGAGAGTAGAGTGGAATCCCTCATACGCGAACGACCGAATGCGCGAAAATAAAAATCAGACAATCAGATTTAAGAAAACTAAAACTTGGAAAGAAAGCGTAAAAGTCTGAATAAAAGTGAACATTTCCAGGGATTGAATATTGATATTGGCCGATTATAATAACGGCAGAAATATGCAAAATTTTCAAATTGTCACTGACCGCCGCCGAATTGGAACAAATTTTATATTTCAAGGGTTTCGTTATAAAAGAAGCGAAATATTGCTTCATTTAATCAACTTTAATTGAATGGCAATTGATTCTTTTTAAAAATTGACTTTCGGCTAGTTCTGTTTTCGGTCCTTCGCTCACCAGTTTATCGCCCATTCGGTCCTTTGCGCATGCGAATGGCCGCCGGATAGTAGCGCCAGACAGCTTTGGCGCGACACATACGCACCTCACTTGAGTACATTATCAAAAACTGTCATAAATTTTTTTCTGATTCTTATTTTGAATTGAACACAGATGCTGGAAAACTGAAAAAAGCTTTTGAAGAATTTATTGCTTATAACACATCGCAAGCATGCTTTCCACAGATCTCCACCATCTTTTTTAAGGCGATAGCTACAGGGATGGAAAACATTTCCCACAAGAATTGCAGCGCTTTTGCCAAAACGGCCACAACCCCATTTTATGCGAATACTCGTTTGATCACTACCACTGGAAATGCCAAAATCCCAAAACTGGCAACAGGTTATCAAAAGGCAAGAAAAATGAAGAGATTTTTGCCACGAACCAGTTTGTTTGATTTGATCGGTGACAAACGGAGTAACTGAAATTGGAAATTGCATCATTTCCTACGGGAAATTGCACTGCCGATTTATTAACAATGTACATTTTACGAACTTAAATGGATTTTAAATCGATTTCAATCGATCATTCTTGAAAACGTTGGGTCAATTTTAGTGTCTAAAAACCAATTTGAATCAAATTGGATGGATTCTCAGATTCACTATAATATATTTTTTTTGCTAACACGGCTAAAAAATCATACTCTTTATCAAAAAAAAATTGAAGTAGGAACACAGATGCCAGATTTTAAAAAATTCAATCAAATGATCTACTTAAATCAGAAATTAAGCTCGAAAAAACGCAATGAAACCATAGAAACCCATGTAAACCAGATTTTGGGCAAAATCCAACAAACAATAAAAGGGTCAAAATAAATTAAATTTTGATCTCGATAATATGCGACAAAATCATAGCAAATATTAAATGTAAATCAGATATTGAACGAAAACTTATGAAACGAATCAAGAAAAAGGTCAAAATAGATCAGTTTTCGATCTCAAAATATGCAAAGAAATCATAGAATTTTATAGATATTTTGGACTTTTAATATGGTCTTTTTTATGCTACGATACGCTATGGATGTAAACAAAAATGATGGGCAATGAAAAAATGCAATAAAATTTCGAAACTGATAAAACTCGAATGAAAAAATCAATTTAAATCTGTTTTAAATCCCTTAAAACAAAAACAAATTAAAACTGGAAAAAATGGATTTAATTTGATATAAAAACGATTCGGATCAACATTTTAGCTGGGGCTTCAGGTCAATTTAAAAGGATTTTGAATCGATCCAAATCAATCTTTATCTTATTTACACAATCTTTGTACTTTTTTAATACTAAAATCAATCTAAATTTAATCAACCTATTTTTTTCATACTAAAATCAATCCTTATCCATTTTTGTCAGCGCGAGTTATCAACCAAAAGTGGGTCAAAAAAGACGGTGATGATATGTTTTCAAAACAATCAGCCCATAAATATAAACGGCTAATTTGAAAAAGAAGAAAATCATGGCAACATTAGTAATGCTAAGAAACCGTTGCCGAAAAGACCTGCTAAGAAAAATGTATCGATGATGATGAAGACGCTTCTTCAACGGAGACTGAGGATCAGAAAGGGTCCGTCCTTGATCCTTCAAACTGTATTTTTTTGCAGGTTAATAGCTCTCCGGTAATATCGTCATTGAAATTCACAACCATCTGATTTTTTTTACAGGAAAAAGGAGCTAAGCGACAGCAAAGTGTTTTTTCTTCTGCGATGGACAGGGCATTGATCTCTACTGAATGAAAACGTTAGTAGTAAAAAAGGAAGCATTATCCATGTTTCTTGGAAAAAAACTCTTGTGCTGAGGATTCTGAGACCGAGATATGAATTCACTTGAAAAAAAGTTTGTGATTTTTGCCTGATTTTTTGTAATTTTTGGTCTTTTTTCGAATTAATGCGTTAGGAGTACAAGTAAGCTTACTTTTTGGATTTTTGTAGCGCCATTTGGATAACCAAAAATCAAAATTAAAAAACTTTTCGAAAATTCATCAATGAGATTTATATATATTTTTTTGTATTTCGTGCCAATTTTCTTCAAAAAAAAAGCTCTCCAAACAACTTTTTTGACTAAGACTGTCACATTTTTGTAATTTCTAATTTCAGATCAGATTTTTTTTCAAACGACATTAGTTTTTCGAAAAAAAAGATTTTTCTTCAGACTATGATTGAAAAACTCTGTGCTAACTGTCTAGTAATCATCTATCCTTGGTTTTATGAATAATTGAACACAGCATTTCAACTGAAATTTCTTCTGAGAATAAATCTCGGTAACTCTGCTGAAAGTTCATTGTGTTAACTGCGTTGCTGGCACTAACAGATCGAATCGCACAACACAACCAACCTAGCCTAGCTCTAAAAGGCGTGTTGTCCTTTTTGCTTTGCATCCGCAGCCTCCAGCTTCGCTTTGTCCTCTTCCGGGTCTGCGAAGGTCTGTTCCCGCGGTTTCTTCTATTTTAAACTTTTTTGTTCAACTTTTCTTTGTGCTCCCTAACCGGGCTCCAACATTTCAGTTTAAGCCCGTATTGCTGGTGGAGCTCTTTGTACGCTTCGATGACCTCCGACTTTCCACTTCAGCTTCAATTTAGAGACAAGAGGTTTTACCGTCGAAGTTGTCAGAAGCCCCGTTTTCATCAGTTCTGCAAA